CAGGTATGCTGGCCGTAAGCCATGTAAGGCTTTAAAGGGAATAACCAACACCTTGAATTTCATCCGGAGACCAATTGGTAGCCAGTGCAGCTCGCGGAGGACAGGTGTAATGTGGGTGTGCCTCAGTACACCCAATATCGCTCACGCGGCTGCATTCTGGACTAGCTGCAGTCTCTGAATGCTTTTCAAGGGTAGCCCCATGTAGAATCAGATCAGTGCACTGTTCTTTATTCAAAACGCCAAATTCTTTCATCTGCAACCCCTATCCCAAATTTTCACAAACGGAGAGCAAGCTGCATGGCCTTCCCACAGCAATTTTTTCTTCAAACTTGTTCCACTTAATATGGTGCCTCCGTAAGTGGACTTTCCCCTTCTGAGACTAGAATGAACGTGAGGATTCTCCTGCAGGACTAACCTCCATGCAGGTAGCTGGTACATATCTGTGTCTCTCTTCTAACAACAATTTGCCTAGATCCATAATGGCAAACCTATGGCACGCAGGGAAAACCCTCTCTGTGGGGACGCACGCCATCGCCAACTGCTCTTCAGGAGCGCCAGAAACCCCAAAGACCAGCTGGCCAGTGGTGCATGCGCTCCAGTGTGCATGAAGACCAGCTAGCCATGGCGCATGCACATGCTGGAAACCCGAAGATCAGCTGGCCGGCACTCACATGCGCACTGACCAGCTGGTCTTTGGTTTTTAGGTGCTCTGGCGCGCACACGCATTCCGGTTTGGACACTCAGTGTTGAAAAGGTTTGCCATCACTGGCATAGATGCAAGATGGGTTGGGTGGAAGAGTCAGCTGATGGGCGTAGCTGATGAGAGGTCCTGAGGAGCTCTCCCCTATTCTTCAGGTCCCACTGCTGATCCCAGAGAACTGTCAGGGAAAAGAGACATCTACAGCAGTACCTAAGGAGAACTACTTCAAAGGAAATGGCTAATTAAACAACAGCTCTTAGTATGAGGCGCCCGGAGAGAAAGAAGGGAAGCAATTTTATAGCTTACACGCTCTTAGCAAGATTTTCTGTTGCATTGGCAGAGGCAGAAAACAGGAAAGTTTCTTCTCTTTCTCGAATACTATTAATGGTATAAAAATACAAGCTGCAGCCAGTTATCTTCTTGCTTACAGAAACGTGTCTTAGTTTTCTTGTTTTCTTTCCCCGTGCTGATTGGCATCATTGCTATTTTGGCACAGCAGTCCTGATAAATGCATAAAACCTCACTCCCTGATATTTGCAGCCAGCAATATTGCAAAGCCACCCCCAAAACAGGTATACTTAAAGGACACTTAGCCTCAAATCCTCCCCCAACTCTTCCCTCTGTTTCAGAGGTGGTATTCAGCCAGTAGAGGAAATTTTGAGTAGTTGGGAGAACAGGCAAATACCACCTCTGGCTGGCCACACCCTCTATTCTCTGCCTCTTGTCCCAGCTGATCGCGTCTCAACTGATCAGCTGGGTCTTCACCTGTTGTTCTGCACAGGAGAATGGAGCTGCAAAGCAGGTTAGTGGGGTGGGGAGGAAATGGGGATTTTGCAGTATCCTCCCCTGCCACGCCCACCACGCCATGCCCACAGAACCGGTAGTAAAAAAATTTGAATCCCACCACTGCAGTCAGTTTTGTTTCCCCATCCAAGGATTTGATAAACTAGAAGGGGACAGAGAAGTCTGACAGGCAGAAAGAGGCACAAATGAGTGTATAAATGTTCAGGTCACCACTAGTATTGTACTAGTATAATAGTATAATACTAGTATTATACACACCTAAAAAGAAAGACAGCTCAGATCAAAATCTCTATTCTAAAAAGTGACTCCTTCCATGCTCAATTTAATTTTTTTTTAAAAACCACATTTAACTCTCTGCTCTTTCTTTTCAAAATTGGAAAGCTCTATCCACTGAAGCATTTTCTCCCGAAAGAAACCGTAACACTGAATTATTTGGGACTCTGACCTCCCTGCTGAGTATGGGAAGTCAATTATTCTGCTAATGTATGCAGACCTAGTTATCTCTTGTAAGCCACCTTTATTCTGAAAGGCAACATCTAGATACTTTAAATAAATAATGTTACACGGTAGGTTTATTGTCACAGTAGGTTTAATTAGAAGCATGGGGAGGCTTTTCTGATTTGTTTTGCTAGTATTTACACTCTTGGAGTGCTCCCAGATTCTTCTTGCTTTTTGGGGGGAAATGGGTGGGGGGGTCAGTAAGCAGCCTCACAAAAGTGCTCTCACCTGAAATCTCCTCCATTCATTGACATAAACGAAGAGGGTGCATCCCGTCCAAAGTCTGAGCATCCACGAGCTGGTGTGGATTGATTTGTTTAGGTTTGTCTCCAGTTACTTGTAGGGCTGCCTCCTCAATTTTAGGGATGGGGATTGATGGTCACGGCCCGCTAGTTGATGGGTTTTAATTGCTGTCTACCCAATCCCCTTCCAACAGCTACAAGCCATCTGGAACCCATGTATACATTCCTACCCAGGATATTATGCACAACAGTGCCTGCTTATTAACAGTGCATCTCATTTGGCATTTCTTTTCTCAGTGACCTAGTTTTGGAGAGATTTCCCAGGAACTTGACAGCTTTCTTGTCTTGTCTTGCCCCCCCCCCCGCCCTTTTCTTTGAATTCTATATCTTTTCGTGTTATCTACCAAGATTGCCATTTCCCAGTTTCTCCCCTCCTCCTGATCCCCTATGAATGAATGAAAAAATCCCCCCCTTCCTGCCCTTTTCTGCTGATCTCCCCATGGAGATATATATATGCAATTTCTTTTTGTTTTGAACAGAGGGAAGAGTCACAGAAGCGTGCGGTGCAGGGAGCTCTGACAAAACGAGGTCTTACTTGTGCTCAGAAAAGCAAGGGATTCATATATCACCGGAGAACTCCGTGGAGAAGGACAGGCTGCCCAAGGAGTAGGTATAACCACCTATTTGGGTGGAGGTGGTTGTGGGTGGGGTTGCATTCAGACATTTCACCAAACTGTGCTTGGTATTATTGAGCAAAGGAGTCTTCTATGTGAACAAAATAATTGCAGGTTGGCCAGCCAAATTTTGAGGGACAGGACCATCCCAAACTCATGACTTGATCATGGAGATAATCCATGGATTTTTGACTATGAGTCACTTGATGGCACACAGTCATATTACCAATCAATAATCAATCAGTTAGGCTTGACTTGTATCCAGAGGTGGCTTGCTGCCGGTTCAGACCGATTTAGGCAAACTGGTTGTTAAGATTCTGCGCAGTTTGGCGAACTGGCAAATGCCACCACTGGCTGGCCCCGCCCGCTCTGCTCTGTCCCACTCCACCCCACTCTGCCCTATCTCACCTCACCCACCTTGGCCAGTGGCTAAAGTCATGCCTGCGCCTAGGTACTCTCTTGTCTCGCTTGCCCAGACCATGCAGCCCGGCTAATTCCTCCCCTGAGGCTGCCTGCCCAAAGCGCTGCCACCGTCACCACTCTGGAACTCGCCCTCGGGACGGATCTGTAAGTTCTTGCTTTGCTCTCCGGGGAGGGCTCCATCATGGAGGGCTTTGTGCCAAGACCAGGCACTTTCTATTGGGCTTCCCACCTGCGGCAGCGGGAGGAGGAAGTGTGTTGTTTTTGAAGCCAAAGCCAGGATGTCTGTGAACTTGCGTATATATGAGGTCTTCTGCCTTGAGCAGCAGGTTGAACTATAAGACCTCCAAGGTACCTTCTAGCCTGTGATTCTAAAGTCTCCAAAACAAGACAATTTGCTTAAATTGTGTGTGTGAGAGAGAGGGGGGGAGGAGAGAGAGAGAGAGAGAGAGAGAGACAGAGACAGAGACAGAGTTATAGACACACT